TGCCACCGCCATGGCCATGAACACCGCCGCTTTAACACAGAAGTCTCGGTGCGTCCGGGCAGCAACGTGCCCGCAAATCAAAGTAAGGCAGCAGCCGCTACCGCTGCTGATGGTCCACCTCTACCTGGACATTCTGTGCTAGGAGTTTCTCTCGGCACTCTGGTTCGCACCCACATGATGTAAAACCACGCGTCAGTAAAAAAAACAACGGAATTGGCCCAACAACACAGTGCCTGATTCTAAACTTATTCTTGATGCTTGATAAAGGTACGGTCACGGATCAATATGGCACTCTGTGTCACTCCCGTGTTTGAAAATACATCCGTGCTGTTATATGTCACGGAGCGCTATTGCGAGCGCTTGGCCGTATGGTCAAGGTATGTTGTTTTATTATTACACGCTTTTTATTAACTCACTCTGTATGTTGTTGTATCCTCAAATCTTGCAACTCAATTTTTACCCACTTCCCAATGTGGTATCGACTGCAAACCTGGTATACTTACGTCATACTGATGACAATACTATATTCTATCATAAAAAAACATATATTTTAAAACATTATTTTGTATATGTTTCGGCTTAGTTCTAATTGTCCACGCTCAACTGACGTTGCCTGTAACTGACCACGGTCCCCCATACGTTATTGCAAGCCTCGGGGCCACTTCCTGGAGTCGTGGAGTTCTTCCATTGCTAGTACGGTACATTTCATGAGAGCGTGTTTTAAAAAAAGTTTTACAAAAATTAATTATGTCATGAAGCTTCAAACTCGTGCTTGGCCGTGGGGGCATATTTCAGTTCAGCACAATACATATAGGGTGATCAGTGTATAGATGTCCCACTGCTTACCACTAAACATCATACTTTCTTCTCAACAGGCGATTGAATATTGCGAAGGCCATAGATCCATATCGTTCAGAGGAGATTTAAATATATTCACTCCGCGTATCGAGTTTGACGGGAAACGTGCGAAGGCTTTGAAGTAACATGTTTTTTTCCCCGTGATTTCTCGGGCATCTATAAATGGACCACTATTTTTTTGGGGCGTAATTTCGCATGGGATATTTTCCGAGGCAGCCACCCTCCCCCGCCTTCACCCCCAAAAGCACCCAGATAAACTTTATGTTTCTAAATCTCAGCCCGTGACAGCTCAACCTAAAATTAAGCCCTGATCCTGCAACATCTACAAAAGCGTCGCTTGTTTGTGCGATGTCTCATTTGAAAAAAAAAATTATCTGCAGTTACTGCCGCCCGTTCATCGGGAGTGTTTGTGTTGTTGTGGTAAAGCGACGACTACGCGGGCTCACGTTCGCCGAGATAAAAAAAAACTTATCGCTGCTCAGCTGTGCCGGCCTCTTGTGCCTATCTTCCCCCGGGACTGCTCCGGCCATATATAGGCATAGGTTTAACCGCCGTTTGTTTAAAATCTTCTCATCTATTTTTAGGCGTCTAATTAACCCGAGAATGTGTTCGCTCTCTCGCTCTCTCTCCTTTCCTCCCCATCCCTTGCTGATCTCGTCAAGTAGCATGAAACCATCATGTGAACTCCGGTCATCCTCGCAGCGGCTCTTGGTTGGCCACTGAACAAAGACCGTCATCGCATCGCGCGCTTTCAGATGCGCTTCTGCGCCCATCCGAAGCGCTCTTCCTTCCGATAGTAAGAAGCCACTGGATCTATGCACTTTTAAATCTACTGTAGTTTTAAAACTCATTCCCTTAGAAATTGCCTTTTGAGTTTCGTTTGTCCTTCTCCCGCACCTCCGATTAACACGTTTAGCTACGTACAACGGGAAATAAATTCGACATACATACATCCTTCTTTGGTTCTTTCGGTAAAGTCACGTAGAATGAGAATAAAATAATAAATTGATAAAATAAAATAACACAATAATATTCTCACGACGTTTCGGCCAGAATATTATTGTGTTATTTTATTTTATCAATTTATTATTTTATTCTCATTCTACGTGACTTTACCGAAATAACCAAAGAAGATGAATCATTGCAGTCACGAAAGCTTTAAATCGAAATACATACATCCCTTCCCCTTCTCTGTCGGGCTACAATGTATTATAGCATTATTTTTTTATTAAAATAAACATACTGGAATGCTGTTCATATGATTCATGGCATATAGGGTACAATAGTCTAACATCATGGGTTGGTTTATCTTGCACTCCAGCGGCAGTGCCTTATCTCAGTATTCGCTACTCCAAGCCAGCCGAAGCAGCGTTACGGAGAATATTGAGTCATACATTTGGTCATGTTTATATTAACACGCAGTGAATTGACACTCTGCGCAGCAAGGTTCAGTCTGGTTCGTCGAGTATTTGAATGGGCGATCTCAGGGGTGGGACTAGCGAGGTGTGAGCAGGAGATGGCAGTGCTGAGCATTACCTTCCTGGTGTGCAGAGTGCAGGGATCGGAAAACCAAAATAACGCGGCATTTTTTTATTCGTTAAAAAATCTATTTTTTAAGAGCCGCAATGCGTATGATTAGCGTCACGAAGCAGTCCTTTAAGAGCCGCGCGTGACTTCGAAGCCGCGGGTTGCTGACCCCTGGGGTGGTAGGGTCAGAATCGTTATTTGAAACGGGAGGAATCCGATGAGCTATAAAGCTCTTTTTCACAGACGTCCAGTAGCATCTCTGGGTTCTCCAATTTCCTCTATGAAGATGGAACTTTTATTCATGGAATGGGTAAAATGCAGGACCCTGCTGATAGATAACAAGTCTTGACTCAGTGAGGTTTGCTTTATTATCATATTCTCCGGATTAGAAGACTCGATTTCCAACCCTGCATTTTAAACCAAAAGCTTTTGGTGCATATTACAGTCTGGCGAGCTTATGTAAGCAAACTCGCATAGTTTTATTGATACTGGGCACACGTTTCAGTTGCGTCTCACTTTCCGGAGCGTCTTATAATCCGGGAGGACACGGTGATATGCGGCGGAATATCCATAGCCCCTGAAGGCGACATTGAAAAATGACACCAGATATATGCTGTGTATGTAAAGAAAACAAGTTGTGACTTTATTACAAAAACGCTGTAAATTTACAATAGTGCACAACGTATTTATATGTAAAAGGCAGAAATATAGCACAAACGCTAAATACATTTTGCTTGACAGGTAGTCTTTCAAGGGAAACTATACACTTTCAGTGGTCTGGCAATTGTTACTTATATTAGGCTACACAATGTAGGGCATAATGTTATTGTGTTTTATGCTAGCTCATGTCAATATATTTGCATCTTGAAATATATACCAAATTCAGGTCTACATTTGAACAAACCTAATATTGTATAATGCCCAGATAAAATAGCTGCTTTAAATGGGAACTCGGTGCCAATTGTAGCGTAGGCTATTGGCAAATAAAAGTTACAGAGAGGAAAATGTGTATGGTCTGCGAAAACATAGGCCCTGTTATTGTCGCTTAAAAGGCTTAGTTTTACGACAAACTCAGTCGTTTTAACTTTACTGGCTTTTACTCCGTGTATATCAGTGCTGTGTAATGAACACACTTTAAATTGAACACACGTTTAGATATTGAAAAGTAATTGTTTTTTTTTCTCATAATTTTAACTGTTCAAATCCATGGGAAAAAAAGAGCCTGGAACATCTCAAGGACAGTGGAAGAATTGAAAAAAAATAAAACCACAAAGACAAAGATCCCCTGTATAGCCCTTAACAGACTGTTGGGGCAAGAGCTGTTAGGGAGCACCTGAAGGCAGGCACGGCACATGAGGGGGTGGGTGGCCAGCACCACGCTCTGCTGCCTTTGTCTCCCTAGTGGCGATGATTTTACACACCGCACCACGTACGTCAGATGTTGGTGGCCGTGAGCGGGAATATAACTCACGTCACCTGGTTCGTAGAGCAGTGCGCTAACCTCTGCGCCACCGCTCCCCACTAGAACTCCACAACGGCAGTGGAAGCATTGACCCAATAAAACCAACCTCAATACCCAGCGCCATTCGTCGCAAAGTGACGGTGACGTCACCACGGCGCCTGTGCCAGGCCAGGTGCACTTTGAGGCCACATGAAGTGTCGAAAGCTCGCCGACAGGTCTTGGGACAGACCCAGGTGCCATGGGTTGGCTGACTGTGATGACCAATACATGCACCAGCTGTACCCCCGACTTTGCCAACTTGCTGCATTTTAGCCGCCCAGTGCTCTACTCGTTGTTGTGAGCATCGCTCCTCTGCCCTCCGTTGTTGCTGGAGGGCGATTGCCTCCAACTGCCCAGTAGCGTCCTGTACGAGCCTCCTCCATAGAGGCCGATCTTGACACCGCTTGTACCAGTCGTCGGCAAGTCCACTCAGCTTCACATCCTCCCGTACCGCATCAGTCCATCTCCTCTACAGCCCATGTTTAGCCCCCTCTATGTGGCCAAACAGAATGTGGTGTCTGGGCATGACTCAACCAATGCAGCCTTGCCTGGCAGAGGAGCTCACTGATGGGAATGTGTCCAGATCTTTCAAGGATTTGTGAGCTTCTCACACAATCCACCCTGGTTAAACCCAGGATGGATCATAGGCATGCCAGGCTGAATGTTTCTAACTGGTGCAGATGTGCCATTAGAGGGGTCCACGTTTCACAAGCATGACTGTGGCCGAGAAGACCCGAAGCTTCGTGCAGAGCGACAAGCCAGGAGCTTCTATACAGTATTACACAGTCAATGAAAAGATGTCGCCCGACTGATTTGGAGACCTCTACTGTCAAACCGGAGCTGGTCATAAGCACACTGCCCATGTATGGGAAACTTTACACTCTCTCCACAACTGCTCCATCACCAATGGGAAGCTGAGGGAGTGTTTGGTGGCACAAAAAACCCCACCTCTTAGTGGCACACTCCAGGTTCAGCAGCAACATCTCCAACTCCTCCTCTGAGTGAGCAGCAATCACCAGATCATCAGCACACATAACATGGTTGACCAATAGGGAGCCATCCCTCGACCGCACCTGGGTATCGATCAGTCTCCCATTGTATCTGTACCAGATGGAAATTCCTCAGGTACAGCCATGGAAAGCGTCTCGAACTATGATGGAAAATAATGTGGGAGCCAGAGGACATCCGTGTCGCACCCCAAGGTGGCCACGTAGCTTTACCCGGGCCTACCCACCGTCACGAAGGCCCTTCATGATTATGAGCAGAGAGTCAGGGACTCCGAAAGTATGAAGAACTGCCCACAGCTCACACACATGTGTGAGCTTTCTTCAGATAAGTTGTATAGTGTCATTATTTCCCGTTGTGTTATATAATAAAATACCCACATTCTTTGGTATTTACACACATTCCCTGGCATGGGAAGAATAATAATACAGGTATCAAAAACTTTGTATTTTTATTAAATGTTGTTTCTGAACTTATGAACAAACAATAATAATTTAATAACAAACAAACAAAATGCTGTTCTGATTGAAGTCCGACGTTTTGTGCATAATTACGCCCCCTCCCCCGTGTGTTGCCGTGGACACTGGGAAGTCGGGCAGGCAAAGGAGTCCAGGCAGGTCGGGTGGGTAGATGATGCGAGTCACATCGCTGGCCGCTTTGCTGTAGCTGCCGGCCTCTGAGTGGGCTGTGCCACTCGCTTGGCAGGGGACGTCTTCACCTTCTTGCTCGTGAAGAAATCTGAAAAGGGCAGGCGGGTCGGAAAGGCCTTTGAAACTTGTGCGATTTGCGCCCAGCGCTTCATTCGATTTGGTTTGCACTCCCGGTCATCTCTGAGACGTTTTGCGATGCCAAGTTTAAGCGCGTAACGACGCGCGTGCAACGCTGTAATAAATTGCGCTTCGGTTATATTGGGATTTGTTTCATGTGCGCGAGGCATGATATTAAGTTTTAAAATGATGATAACCAACACTGATTTTTCTGCTGTGGCTGGTGCATCACAGACTGCGTACTAAATGACTCGTGAACAGTAAGTTAATCATCATAATTGTGCTGCACAGCTATTTTTTCTCAATCCACTGCTGGACGAAGGGCTCCCCACACCGCATTGATAAGGGTCGCTGGACCATACTTCACCGCTTTGGTCAGTGTGGGTTGGTGAACGGGGGTGGGAGAGAACCAGGAACGGGATCAGATATCGCTCTTCACTGACCCTGGTCGTGGGCTGAGAATCAAGCGCAGGTTGCTGGGCTCGTAACGCAGTGCACGAACCACTATGCCACTGCTCCACCTCTAACACCAAGTTAATTGAGGGCTATTGTCTCCCTGAGTCCTGACCTGTTTACGATAAACTGCTGATGGCATTGCTGTGCCTCAGCTAATAAACTTGTTTCGTGGGAAGCATGTGTGGGTCTGTCACGTTACAGATTAGATGATTCTTACTAAAAACTCGAGCGGAGGTCCTGGTCAAATCTTAAAATGTTTAGAGTTCCATTTGACAATCACTTTACTCATGGAGATATTACATTACACATACATGTGCTGATAAAATAGGGAGAGTGAATGTAAGGTGATGCCCGGGGATGTTGATTATAACAATTTAATGTATTGAATTACAAATAAATGTACTCATACGAGAGTGAACGTATATATGATGCTCTGGGATAATTATTATAATTATTTAATATAAGGAATCACATATACAATTACAATATCGAATGCGTGATACCCAGTAATGATATAAAGTAGGTAAATGGAGAGCATGAGAATTATCAAGGACTTTTGGGCAATATGCACTTTAAAAAAATCCGAATGTGTCCACATTGTGAATATAATGCTAAGCAATATTACGTAACAAAAAAAAACACGCTCAAGAGAGAAGTCACGCTCAATGTTAGTTTACAGTCATCTGTCACGGTTATGGTTCGGGTTTTATGGCTAAACTTATGGGTCAGGGCTAAGGTCATATCTGTTAAGAGATAAACAGCAGTCGCGCAGAGCCAGCTGCTCAGCCCGGTTGACCGTAGCCAAATACCATCCACGCTGCGACGGTGCACGGGTTACACCAACACGACCGACATGGGACGCTGCAATTGGCACGTGCGCAGCTGCTGTTCGATGCATTCACAAACACCGCGCGTCACATGGTCGTCAGAGACGGCGACGGCCTTCAGCCAACAGTAGATTGGTCACGAGATACTGCTGCTGCTGATGATGATGAGCGAGGGGTGGACGCGCGAGCCGATACGAACGAGGTGACCGCTCACCAGTTATCCGCGCTTGCTGCTGCTGCTGCTGCCGCCTCCGCTTACGCGCGGGACCCGCGCAGCAGACCTCGTCGTCCTCGGGCGACGAGGTCTGCTCCACGGCCCCGGGCGGACGACTCCGCGTCTCCGTCGACCGGGCCGGCTCCGGTCGCCGGCTCCGGCTCGCGACTCGACCCCGGTAAAAGGCCGGGATGCTCTGCGCCCTCGCCGCCTCCCACTCGAAGTGTCCCCCCGGCACGGGCGTCTCCGAGGAGACGTCGAACGACCAGCGGCTGCGCGCCGCGTCCAGGGACTCGCGCAGCAGCTCGTCCAGCTCCCTGCGCAGTGCCGCGCCGTCCACCCGGGTGCCGAACAGATTCCGCCGGGCGCCCTCCTTGCCGGGCGAGCCCAGCAATGCCCTGGCCGCCGCGAGCCCTCCGGCTCCGACTGCGCCCTCCATGCCCGTGGCGAAGAAGAAGAAGAAGACGACGAGGAGCGCGCAACGTGCGGGGGGAGGCTCGAGATGCCTCGCGACTGTCTGCGTGGTGGTGGTGGAGGAGCGAGATGCGGCGTCAGTAACAACCAACATCCTCCAGCCATCACCACCACCAACCAACAACCACCATCAACCAACAAGCAACCAACAACCACCACCAACCAACCACTAACCAACAGCAACCACCCACCACCAACCAACAACCACCAACAACCACTATCAAACAACAACCACCATCAACGAACAAGCAACCGGCAAGCACCACCAACCAACCACCACCAACCACCACCACCTCCACCAACCACGAGCATCAGCAACATGCCGGGGCCTCGGCTCTGCTGATCGTTTCGTCTCATCCACGTGCGCGCGCGTTCAACCGGCACCCCGCTGGGTCGGAACCCCTTCTCTCGAGTTCCTACATCATCATCTCCTCTCTGGTCGATACAGAGATTCGACTCTCGTCGAACACGCAACTTTCAGAAGAGTGCTGCTTGATGACCGGCCGCGCTTGGCGTTTGGGATTCATAACCCCCCCCA